CCGCGTGGATTTTTTAGAAACCTTCTTTTTCAGATAGGTGTGTTCTTGTCACACTATCATATTGTTTAGTATGCTGTCCCCTGGGTTTATGTATCCACACTTATATAAGTGAGTCGGAGATGTGCTTATGACATTAACAATTAGTGTCATTCTTGGTGGCTTGCTCTTGCTTTATTGTTGTGAGAGCTCAATGTACCTGTCTGACCTCCCCAGGCCTCCAAGCTTATCCCCTGGGGCATGTTAGAGCCCTGCGGTGGGGGACTTACCCGGTCTGACGGCTCCTGGTGGAGGAGAGGTTGATGCGGGGAGGGAAGAGAGAGGAGCGGCTGGAGACTGGCGAAGAGAGAGTCCCTGGACGCTGGGAGACGAGAGGGGCCGGCGCGATCACGTGACCGGCCGCAAGGCACCACTGGGAGATCGGGAAGCCGGCCGGCCGGCGTTTTGCAGTGAGAGAGCAACGCCGACCTGTTTACCGGTGGCCGACACACTCTCCCCCTATCCCCCTAGTAACCCTGGAGCCTGGAAGAAAGTGGAAGGAGAACTGTCGAGACCTGGACAAGGAGTCTGAAGAGACCCTGGGGAGTTCCCCCCCCACGAATAGACCCTCAGAGGAATTGAGTGAAAAGGCACTCATTGGAAGAGGACATAGGATAAGCATAATGGACTTATCCTGACCAAAACCTTTTTCAAGGATATAGATAAAAACAGCTACATCCCCAAGTCTAGTGGGCATCATCCTAGATGGTTATTTTCTACTCCGAGAAGTCAGTTCACTAGAATTAAGAGAAATTGCAGCACACAGAGTGATTTTATAGATCAGACTGATGTGTTGATCAATAGATTTGTAGAAAAGGGTTATGATAGGCCTTTTTTGGAATTTGAAAGGGAGTTGATTTAATAGAAAAGATAGAGACTCTCTCTTACTAAATAGGAAAGCAAAGAAAAATATGGATAATATAGCTTTCATTACCGGTTATAACACCCAATATAAGATTATTGAAGGCATTTTTAAAAAACACTGGCCAATTTTGTTGAAAGATGAGAACCTTAAAAATATCATTCCTTCTAGACCGAGATTCATTTATAGGAAAAATAGATTGTTGCGGACAAAACTATCCCATAATGTTATAAATCCACCAAAAGAAATAAACTTTTTTCCCGATTTTACAAGGTTTTTTTCATTGTAATAAATGTAAGGCATGTAAAACAATAAAAAAAGACCTGAAGAAAAAGAGGAAAGAGTTTCAGTCTACATCAACGAATAAAAAATTCAAGATCGAGTCATTCATTTCCTGTAATTCATCCTACGTGGTGTATGTACTAGAATGTCCGTGCCACTTCCAGTATTGAAAACAAGAATAGGAGAACATTTAAATAATATCAAAAAAGGCTGTGAGAAAAATAGCGTTTCCAGACATTTTAAATTCAAACATAATAGTGATCCGAGTTTGTTGACCTTCTATGGAATAGATAAAATCAAAAGACCTTGGAGGGGTACTGATATGATCAATGAGACTTCCAAAAGGGAAACTTTTTGGATATACGAATTAAATACTTTAAAACCCAATGGTTTGAATATTGACATTGGTCTAAAGTGTTTTCTGACTAATTTTTGATAAAATATTTTTTTCCTGGGTATTGGTGTTATCTGATATGGTTAGATCAAATACATATTATTATGAATGGTGAAATGATTGTTTAGCGATCGATTTATACTACGATTTGAGATCTTCAGTAGGGTAATATTTTGGACATGTTTAATATTAGATGCTTTGAATAATGACATTGTTATATAATTTATTTTTTTATTTCCTTTTTTGGGATATAGGTTTTGTTCGATCTAGTTAGATCGAACATTTATTATGGATAGTGAGATGATTGCCTTTTAAGATTGGTGATCTTTGTTCACTTTGGTTTATAATTGGAAGTTTAAGATTTGTTAGAAGGCATTATTTAATTATCTTTTAATACCCTATCATTCTTGACATTGTAATTAATACCCGGGCCCTTTAAGTATTATAAGAGGGGGGGTATTTAGTGCTAATGATCATAGCTTATTATTCATGTTCTATATTGATATGTTTGATAATATTGATATTATTTATGAGCACACATATTTTACATGATTGGGTGGTTAGTGTGTTCCTCCTTTTTGGAGAGTTAGGGAGATAATTATTTCAAATAATTCATAAAAATATATATCTATATCATCATGTATGTTATGTGTTTGTTATTTTAATTACATATGAATCGCATTAATAGTCGTGTATGATTACCTATGATTTAAGATCGATCGCTTACCTGATTTGATATTTTATAATATGTTATATATGTATAATTACACTCAATGTATTTGTAGAGATTTTTATTGTATTAGAATGCCGGTTATCGATTGAGTATAGCATTTAAGTAATCTGCAGAGATCGAGCGGTATTGTCTTTAGAATGCCGGTTTCGATTGGTTACAGCTGGTCTGTAATGCAGATTGTGTGTTATATTGTGGGAGTAGACATCCAACATCCACTCCGCCCCTTGAAGATGTCGAGTGACAAAACGCGTAGGGCGTGGCCTAGTGGATGTGACGTCAGGCCGTTCCTCGGGACTGTCGGCTGTGAGATCGTGGTGTGCGAGGTTCGTTCCTGCCTTTCATAGTGGATATCTCAGAGGCTGTTTACTGCTGGTGTCGGTGTCAGGGCTCCCAGGTGTGACCAGAGGTGTGTGACTGACGCAGGGAAACGCAGACTTCAGATATGTGATAAACAATATAATTTATTAACACTAACCATACAAACATAAACGCAGTGCAATACTAAAACATAATACAGTGCAAACAAACCAAACCAACCACCCACAGATAACAGTACATACAAGCAAGCGTCGTCAGGCAGGCCGGGTCAATATCAATAGGGCAGGTAGGTACAGGGGGAGCAAGCGGAGATGGGTCGGGGTCACAGGCCAGGTTCAGCAGGTAGCTAGCAGCGTAGTACAGAGGGTCAGGCAAAAGGATGGTCAGGGTCACAAGCCAGGGATCAGAACAGGTAGCAAGCAGCGTGGTACAGAGGGTCAGGCAGAGGGATGGTCAGGAGCGAGCCGGGGATCAGAGCAGGAGAAGTCAGCAGCGGTTCAGATCAGGCAGGGTCAGCAAAGGAACAGAAACAGGATGCAGGACAGATACAGGGCCCAGGACAAACACAACACCAAGGCAGAGTCTGCAAGTCTGGCCATCATCCCTTAAATACACCAGTATCATCAGTTCCAGGTGTTAGCTGGCTGAAAGGTTGAGTCTCTGATTGCTGGAGCACCCGCTGGCCAGCCCTGGTACTGCAGATCAAAAGGCAGGTGAGTCCCACCATTGCTGGCCAGTCCATTCCTGACAGTACAGTACCCCCCCCCCTCAAGGAGCGGCCTCAGGACGCTCCAAACAGTCCTAGCTGGGCAAAATGTTCCACCGCCCGGGTCTGGTAACTGGCGGGATATCAAAGACTGGCACACCGGGCAGGACTCCGGGGCTGCAGCGGCACATCGGGCTGCACTCCGGGCAGAGGCACATCGGGCTGGACTCCGGGCAGAGGCACATCGGGCTGGACTCCGGGCACATGGGCAGGCACATCGGGCTGGACTCCCGGGGCAGAGGCACATCGGGGCTGGACTCCGGGCAGAGGCACATCGGGCTTCCAGAGGCACATCGGGCAGAGGCACATCGGGCAGGACTCCGGGCAGAGGCACATCGGGCAGGACTCCGGCAGAGGCACATCGGGCAGGACTCCGGGCAGGCCGGCACATCGGGCAGGACTCCGGGCATCGGTAGGCACATCGGATTACCAGGCGAAGCAGGCGGGGCAGCAGCGGGCCACCAGGCGGAGCAGAGGGCAGGCCCCCGGGCCACCAGGCGGAGCAGCGGGCACCCGGGCCCCCGGGCGGAGCAGCGGGCACCGGGCCCCCGGGGACGAGCAGCAGGGCACCGGGCCCCCGGGTGGAACAGCAGGCACCGGGCCCCCCCCCGGGCGGGGCGACAGGCAGCAGGCCCCCGGGCGGGGCGACAGCACCGGGCCCCCGGGCGGGGCGACGGGCAGCGGGCCCCCGGGCGGGCGACGGGCATCGGGCCCCCAGATGGAGCGACAGGTCTCGGGCCCTCAGGCGGAGCGGAGGGCGCCGGACCCCCAGTTGGAGCAACAGGTCTCGGGCCCTCAGGCGGAGCGGCGGGCGCCGGACCCCCCAGGTGGAGCGACAGGTCTCGGCCCTCAGGCGGAGCGGCGGGCGCCGGACCCCCAGATGGAGCGACAGGTCTCGGGCCCCTCAGGCGGAGCGGCGGGCGCCGGACCCCCAGGTGGAGGCGACAGGTCTCGGGCCCTCAGGCGGAGCGGCGGGCGCCGGACCCCCAGATGGAGCGACAGGTCTCGGGCCCTCAGGCGGAGCGGCGGGCGGCGCCTGACCCCCAGATGGAGCTACAGTGTCTCGGGCCCTCAGGCGGAGCTGGACGGCGGGGAATAAAAAAAAGCCGGACCCCCCCCAGGTGGAGCGACAGGTCTCTCGGGCCCTCAGGGCGGAGCGGCAGGCGGGCGGCGGGCCCGGACCCCAGGTGGAGCGACAGGTCTCCAGGGCCCTCAGGCTCGGAGCAGCGGGCGCCGGACCCCCCAGGTGGCAGAGCGACAGGTCTCGGGCCCTCAGGCGGAGCGGCGGGCGCCGGACCCCCAGGATGGAGCGACAGGTCTCGGGCCCTCAGGCGGAGCGGGTCGGGCCCTCCGGTCACCCCCAGATGGAGCGACAGGTCTCGGGCCCTCAGGCGGAGAGGCGGGGGCGCCGGACCCCCAGATGGAGCGACAGGTCTCCGGCCCCCTCAGGCGGAGCGGCGGGCGCCGGACCCCCAGGCGGAGCGACAGATCTCGGGCCCCCAGGTCAGGCGGAGCGGACTCGGGCGACGGAACCCCCCAGGCGGAAGCGACAGGTCTCGGGCCCTCAGGCGGAGCGGCGTGGGCGCCGGACAAACCCCAGGCGGAGCGACAGGGCACTCGGGCCCTCAGGCGGAGCGGCGGGCCGCCGGACCCCCAGGCGGAGCGACAGGTCTCGGGCCCTCAGGCGGAGCGGCGGCGCCGCGACCCCCAGGCAGAGCGACAGTCTCGGGCACCTCAGTGCGGAGCGGCAGGCGCCGGGCACCCCCAGGCGGAGCGACAGGTCTCGGGCCCATCAGGCGGAGCGACAGTCTCAGGCCCCCCAGGTGGGGCGGCGGGCGCCGGACCCCCAGGCGGAGCGACAGGTCGACAGGTCGGCCCCCGTTCAAGGGTGAAGCGGCGGGCACCGAGTCACCAGGCACGACAGTGGGCTCCGAGTCAACCTTGGCATGACTGGGCACTGGGTCAGACATTGGATCGTCTGACTGGACAGCGGGCATCGGGTCACCAGGCATCAAGTCATTTGGCTCGACAGCGAGCACCGCGTCATCAGGCAAGGCAGTGGGCTCCGAGTCAACACTGGCATGGACCGCGGGCACTGGGGCAGACATTGAATCGTTGACTGGCCGGACAGCGGGCATCGGGTCACCAGGCATTCAGGTCATTTGGCTCGACAGCGGGCACCGCGTCATCTGGCAAGGCAGTGGGCTCCGAGTCAACAGGCACGACAGTGGGCACCGGGTCATCAGGTACCGGATTGTCTGGCTCGACAGCGGGCATCGGGTCACCAGGTATGACAGCGGGCACTGGGTCACCAGGCATCAGGTCATTTGGCTCGACAGCGGGCACCGCGTCATCTGGCAAGGAAGTGGGCTCCGAGTCAACAGGCACGACAGTGGGCACCCTGGGTCACCAGGCATTGGATCGTCTGGCTCGACAGCAGGCATCGGGTCACCAGAGGTATGACAGCGGGCCCTGGGTCACCAGGCATCAGGTCATTTGGCCTCGCCAGCGGGGCACCGCGTCATCTGGCAAGGCAGTGGGCACCGAGTCACCAGGTACAGACAGCGGGCTCTGAGTCAATCAGGCACGATAGCGGGCACCGGATCAGGTACCGGATCATCTGGATCAACAGCAGGCGATCGAGTCAACTGGCCTAATAGGATCGTCAGGCTGGATCAGTTCATCATGCTGGGTAGAGGCATCAGGCTGAGTAGGGCATCAGGCAGAGTAGAGGCTTCAGGCTGAGTAGAGGCTTCAGGCTGAGTAGAGGCTTCAGGCTGAGTAGAGGCTTCAGGCTGAACCACGGAAGGCAGGTTCACAACGGTTTGGATACTGGCAGGATGGTATTGGTTGGAAAGAATTTTCGCTTTTTTCTGGTTTTAACTACTGGAGCACTGCAAGTAAAACGCAGGTCTGCAAACGAATGGAGCAGCTGGAGACAGAGAAGAACTGGAGGATGGAACAGGAGAGGGAGCAGTTTGCTACAGAGAGGCTTTTTTACAGGGTTTAAAGGCAGGATAGGTGCAGCGGGTGGGGAACAGGGTACTGACATGCGGTAGATAGCCAAGTATACTGGGCTGTAAACTGGGGAGTTGTTGGGAATGCAGGAATAGAGCTTTGAGGAAATAGATTAGAAGCAGGACTGGAGTCTTTGTAAGCTGACTGAGGCTGCTGGGTGCAACAAGTCTGTCCATGTCTGCAGTATGGGTTTGGTGTTGAACAAAGCTGAGCTTACACAAAGCCTGTCTGACCAAAGACTGCACTGCGTTTATACAATCTCTTAGTACCTGTGGTGAACATGCAGAATAACGCTCCAGAAAGTAACCCACATCATCCTCTAATAACCACACCAGGGACTCTACCTGGTCTGCACTAAATATGGTGGCAAAAATTCCATCCCTGCCTTCGGTGGGAACCAGATGAAACCAACTCAACACAAAACCTTATCAATGGCTGCACCATAGAGAAATCTGTTGCCTGATCTACTAGAAACATGAGCGAGCCGTATACATTCTAGTAGTTCATCCCGGGATACCCCCTTCAGAGTCTGATAAGCATATTTTCTGTCATCAAAGCACTAGCAGAGATAAATACTCAACCTCATCAAGATCCATCCTTCCCAGCAAACAAGCCAAGATGGCTTCCCTGTGCAGCCACTTCTGGTCAGGATTGGCCTTGGTGTAATGTCAGGGCTCCCCAGGTGTGACCAGAGGTGTGTGACTGACGCAGGGAAAACGCAGACTTCAGATATGTGATAAAACATAATATAATTTATTAACACTAACCATACAAACATAAACGCAGTGCAATACTAAAAAACATAATACAGTGCAAAAAACCAAACCAACCACCCACAGATAACAGTACATACAAGCAAGCGTCGTCAGGCAGGCCGGTCAATATCAATAGGGCAGGTAGGTACAGGGGGAGCAAGCTGTGAGATGGGTCGGGGTCACAGGCCAGGTTCAGCAGGTAGCTAGCAGCGTAGTACAGAGGGTCAGGCAGGAGGGATGGTCCAGGGTCACAAGCCAGGGATCAGAACAGGTAGCAAGCAGCGTGGTACAGAGGGTCAGGCTAGAGGGGATGGTCAGGAGCGAGCCGGGATCAGAGCAGGAGAAGTCTGCAGCAGCGGTTCAGATCAGGCAGGGTCAGCAAAGGAACAGAAACAGTATGCCAGGACAGACAGTTACAGGCCCCAGGCACAAACACAACTCACCAACGGCAGTGTCTGCAAGTCTGGGCCCATAAACCCTTATATATACACCAGTATTCATCAGTTCCAGGATGTTAGCTGGCTGGAATAGGTTGAGTCTCTGATTGCTGTGAGAGGCACGCCCGCCCTGGCCAAGCCCTGGTACTGTGCAGATCAAAAGGCAGGTGAGGGCTCCCAACCATTGCGAGCTGGTCCAGTTCCATTCCATGGACAGACGGCAATAAGAGACCATTTTTGTAGAGATTCATACTTGAATGATGGTAATAAAAGAGTATTTATGGTTTTATAATGTGTACTCAACACCATTAAATCTTATCTTTTGATTCCCTGTGCATGCACCGGATATGTATGGAGAATATGATGACCTACTTGCTTAAAGGCTGCTTTACATTATGTGCTACGACTTGTGCTGATTGCAGTTTAGTTGCCCGCCCATATTCTGGATATCCCTGCAGCATCATCGCTCTCAAAGAAGCAATCTATCGCTATTAATTTCTGATTATATCAAATGTTGATCAGCTTATAGTAGCTCTGCGAGGTGATTATTTATTCATTTCATTTGGTGGTGGAGATTTGTGGCACCGTGTTATTTTGGATTCAGGATTATGCAAGATTACAGATTGGATAATCACTTTGGATGGTGGATTTGGACCTTTATTATCATCATTGATCGGGACTATTTTGTGTTACTTATGAATTTTATTTTGATTGTGTGCGTATTAATTTTAGCACACTCCTTTATTATTATTTGACTATTACCTTTTTTTGGTTCTAGGAAAAGGATTGCAGCGCAGCTTTATTATAATTATTTGAAATGCTCTTCGCTTCTTTTTTCTACTATATTCTATGGTACCGGTGATAGATTGCCACCTAGTGCAAATAATTCCATCTGTGATAATTTTTTCATATGAGATACTAAAGCTAAGTCAACAGTCAACTTTTAGTGGTATTATAAAACAAATTGGAAGGTCAACTGGGAGAACAACAAACAACTATGCCAATGAAGTGGTAGGTGCCATGTAAACATTGACATCGTAGGGTCAGCACTGCTGAAGCACACATGTGCGCAGGACAGTCATCACATCTGCATGAATCAATAGCTACACAGAGCGCCAGAACTTTATGTGGCCTTTTCTTCCGTCTTTTTTTTTCTTTTCAGATTCTTCTTAGAGATCCCTTCAGTTTTTTTTCTTTCTCTCTTTTCGAGTTTTTCTTCTAGTTCTTCTTCTTCAGTTTCAAGTTTTCTCTTTTTTTCTTCATTTCTCTCAGATTCCTTCAGATTTCAGGTTCCTTTCTCTCTTCTGTTTTCTCTGTTCAGTTTCTGTTGTCTCTTTTTTTCTCTTTTCTCATTCAGTTCTTCTTCATGATTTTCTCCACAGGATGAGATTCTTTTTTCCTTCAGAGATACGGCCTTCTTCAGCTCCTTCTCTCTTCTATTTTCTTCTCAGTTTCAGTTTCTTTCAGTTCCTCTTTTCTTCTTCTCAGTTTTTCTTTCAGTCTTTCAGGTTTCTCTTCTCTCTCAGATTCTCTTTCTTTCTTTATCTTTCAGGATATAGCACAATGTGCCGTAGAGTAGGAGAGCTTTATATAATGGTCTTCATGGCTGAGCAGATGATCCAATGCTTTACTCCACCAAAGTGCAGTGCATGTACGCAGCATGCAAGTTGCAGTGAGCTTGTGTAAATGCATGCTTGTCCTCATGTGACTCTAGTGCAGTGGAGACATGCTGAAGAAGAATGACTCGCCGCATTCTCTGTCTTGGGCAATCCGATGGATTTGTCATGGGTTTGGCGGAATTTGCCATTAGTAGAACACTACTTTTTGTCCTGACTGCATCTGCGAGCCCAAGTGACAAAGTATGATGGAGCTGGGATTATGGGTGTTGGGTTTGTTTGTTCATGGGGTTGGTCCTTTGGCCCCTTAGTTCCACGTGAAGGGAGAAATCTTAATACATCAGCATAATCATGAAACTTTTGGAGACATAGCTTCCCAGACTTTGTGGAGTGACAGTTTGTGGAGATGGCCCCTTCCTGTTTACCAAGATGACTGAGTGAGCACCAGTGCTACAACTCAAGGGCCGATAAATACATGGAGATGTATTGATGTTACTGGGTCTGGAGGCACGTGAACTTTGGCCTCTTAGCACCAGAAGTCTCAGAACCCATATGAAATAACAAACAACCTTTTGGGAATGAATTTAGTACAGAGAACTGTCGAATCCAGGCCTTCTCGTCTGATATCATAGACGCTGACATCTCACAAATGAACTTCTGGAAGGAATTGTGAGAGATCCATTCCCATAGACACACTTTCCTAAACCTTGTAGGTCAGACCTTGAAGCTTAGATGATGTTACAGCTACACAGTGTTGGGCCAACTCAATACTGAACCCTACGCGAACCTAAAGAAATAAGGACTGGGAATACCATTCAAAAGTTCAAAAGTGGCATGTTAATAGCAGTCTTCCCTATACATTTGGCAATAAATTGTAGGTAGATTTTTGGCCATCAAAGAACACTTTTAACTGATTTATTTGAAACTTTTCTCTAGGCAGTGTTTCATGCCTTGGACAATGTACAAATATTTTCAAAAAGTATCCCATATTACACAGCGCAATATGTATAATGGTTTTACCTCTACAACTAGACAGAAGCACATGTTTCACAAAGGGCAATAATCAAAAACGTCTCCATCTGGAGCTAAGCTTTAATGACCAAGGAAAATTGAGGGGGGGGGGGCTCATCAGTAATGCAATCGCAAATGCCAGTTCCCCATAGAAATGATAAAGTACAAGTCTTGGCTCCTCCCCCTACCTATGAAAGGTTTTTCTCTTCTTTATATGTGCTAATTATGTCGGCGTGCATCCTTCCACCATACACACAGAACAAATTGCTGGTTAAAAAAGGCAAGTCGTAGAGCACTTTGAGAAACATCAAGAGAGTGTAGCACCATCCTGATTAATTGTATAATACTTCTTATGGTGGCGACACAAGTGTACGGGATTATCATGTTCTTTTAAAAGCTTTTAATTTTTTATTATCTTTTTTTGTCGGGTATCCCCCCAGGGACTTTTCATCCCGAAAAATGTTCTTTTTACTCACCCCGCTCTTTTTAAAACCCAAAATTTAAAAAGGGGAGGGCATCCTCTCCGCAAAACAAACTAAAAGAATTTAAACAAGGGGAATTTTCCCCCTTCAAGGGAGGTTTTTATTTTCTTTTAAAAATTTCTTGCAATTTGTTTTATATAATATGGTTTTTCTGTTTTTTTAAAAAAAAAGTTTTCAGAGTGCAAGCCCCTTATCCCTGCATAGTACCAGTTTTTAAATGGGATTCAGCTTTTTTATGAATTTGGGGAAAGTATGTTTCCTTTTCTAAAGAATATTTTTGGGTTTTTTTTTAAACAAGTTGTTATGGGGGAAAGTTTTGCTTTAAAACCCCTTTAAGGGGGGCTGGCCCCCACCATACAATACTTGGGGCCCAAAGGGGGCCCCCGTGCCAGGATCAAAGGGATATAAAACGGGGTTCCCCGCATTTCCCCGGTTGGGGGGGGCGGGCCCCCGGCCCCTTTCCCGCCCCGCTAAACGCCCGGCCCCCCGGAAGTCAATCACCCGGGGGGGCCCAGCGAGTGATTACCCGCCCCGAGCCCGGTGTTTGCAGGGTCTCCCTCCCCCTTTTCGTTTGGTCACACTGCTCGGGATGGGTGAGCCAGCCGTCCCAATCAGTGTGCTTACAATTTAAGAAACACCCCCTCGGCCCCCCCAGTAAAACACTCCCCTACACCCGTTAACCCCTTTGCCTCCATTGTTAACACCCCTTTCCCCCCCAGTGGGCCCTTAGTACAATGTCGGCTTTTTTTTTTTAGCACTGATCACTGTATTGGTGTCACTGGGAAAAGGGCAGTGGGGCCAAAAAATCCGGTTCCCCACCAGTGTCAAAATATCCCCTCCTTTGTCCCCCTATATGTCGGGTGATTTTGCCCCTATTTTTTGCATAAAAAAAAATCCAAATATCTATAACCCCCATTTGTAAACTCTATTTAATTTTTTTAATTTAAAAAAATTTTTTTACAAAGTATTGGGATCTTTTTAGCAAAGGGCAGTCGCAGAAAACATTTTGGCTAAATGTATTATGACATTTGATTTTTGAAAATTTTTTAAATGGACATGTTTTATACAGAAAGTCCAAAAAAAATTAATTTTTTTTTTAAAAAATTTTCGCACTTCTTTTTTTTATAGGGGCAAAAAATAAAAAAAGCCCCAGGCAATCAAAAAAACCACAGAAAAAAAAGCTTTTAATTTGTGGGGAAAAAAATTTAAATGTAAATTTAAGGGTTTGGGCAGGGATTGCATGACTGCACAATTGGGCGTTAAAGTAATGCGGGGCCATTTCCCATTATGGGCCCTAACAACATAAACCCGGGTTTTTTTTTGGAAAAAAGCTTCCTGACCACCCTTAGCAGGGAAAAACTGCTAAAAGGGGGGACCACGGGGTGCGCGAAAACACCTGTGTTTTAAATAGTGATATGCACTCCCAGGGGTTTTTACACCCCCCCGTACAACCCCGTAAATTTCATTTTAAAACCCTTGATTTCCAGAAACAAAGCTCCCTACCAATTTTAACCCCCCCATTATAGTATTGGGGGTCGAACGGTTTAATATCTTTCCTCAGATCAGGGGACTATACCAGTGTTCACATTAATATGGTCCCCCAAAAAAGCAGCGTTGGCGGGGAAAAGCCCCCGGCACCTTTTCGTTTAGCCCCTATGCTTTCCCCCCCCCCTTTTTTCCCCCCGCAAGTGGAAGGCTTAGGTCCTGTCAAATTGATACATTGAAAACAAAACCCCATGTTCGCAGATTCAGGGCCCGATCTCTGTTTGGGGACTTTGCCCGGGAAATTTTGATGACCCCTCATATGCAGCAGGGGTTTCCGTCTAGTGCTTAAAGCTACCTTTTGGTGAATGGTGAGGGACCAGCGGCCTAGTACATCCTGGTCTTTCACATACCAGTACTGCAAATCACTTGGTGGGGGCCCG